GTGTGTGTGTGTGTGTGTGTGCGCGCGCGCGCGCGCGCGTTTTGGAAGGAATGGGGAAATGGGGAGGAGGAGTGCAGTGATCTGTTTTCTCACACCTGGAGGGAGCGCTGCCTTCTGGGCTCTGATTTTGGCTGCTTCATCTCCAAACTACCTGCCGGCATGGGGTGGGTGTTCCCCTCCGTTAATGTTTGGTGAACGAATGGCTGCATGAAAATCTGGAAAGCCCGAATATGCAAGTCTTGGGGTCAGACATCCTGAATTTGAATCCTGGCCGTGAGTGACCCTGAAGTGACCTCAACCCTCTGAGCCTGGAACCTCATCTGTCAACGGGGACAATAAATCTTGCTTGGTGGGGAGGAGAGGGCGGGGCCTCGCGGATTTCCCGCCCACGACAGCGATGCCCAATTGGGTCCGCGGAGAGGGCAGAGTCCCGCCCACTTTGCTGGGGCAGGCCCGGAAGCAGAGTTGCTGCGGCTGTGTGCTTCCGGTTGGTCCAGAGGCGCCGCCGTCCCGGCGGGAGTGGATTCGGCTGTTGTCCCGTCCGCCGTGGGAAGATGTTCTACCACGTGAGCAGAGCACGGGGTGGCGGCGAGGGCAGGGTCGAGAGGAGGAGCGAAACGTGGCGCCGGGACGAAAGGTTGCTCCTCACCCCGGGTCGCTGCCGCGCCTTGCTTGGTCTCCATCCCGTTTTCCCTGCAGATCTCCCTGGAGCACGAGATCCTGTTGCATCCGCGCTACTTCGGCCCCAACCTGCTCAACACGGTAAAGCAGAAGCTCTTCACCGAGGTGGAGGGGACCTGCACCGGCAAGTGAGTGCTGCGCCCTCCGTGCCACCTGATCTGAGGCGCGTGTGGCGCCCGAGGCTTGCAACCTCTCCCCGGGTCCTACTCATCCTGCGAGGACCTGCCACCTACCCTGGGGAACCCTCTCACCCTCTCAGGCACCCCAGGCAGTCAGTTGCTTCCTTGCTTTGGGTTCCCACGGCGCCCTCTGCAAAGCTGATCATGAGACTTCCTCACTTCAGCTGAGATTGTTCATTCATTTATTCCGCAAACGTTTCTAAAGCTTCTGCCGTCTGCCAGGTTGTGTGTTGGGCTCTGGGAACAATGCAGTGAACGAGATAGAATCAAGCCAGCTCTCATGGAGCTCACAGCCTAATCATTGTTCCTGTGTCTGTTCTCCTGTGGTTCTGCTGGTTTTCTTTCTCCCACATGACCAGGGACCTGGCCTGGCACATCTCTGGGCTCTGCACATAAGGGCCTCTCACACAGTGATGAATGGGCTGGGATGAGCCCAGGGCCATGGAGTATTTGGCCTCTCTCATCAGAATAACCACATGCAAGTTCCTGAGCCTCATCTTGTCCCTATAGAATCAAGACTGGGGACAGGCCTGGGAATGTGTGTTTTAAGAAGTTCCTCTTAGGTGATTCTAAGGCATCCCGACGATCGAGGTCTCTTGGCTCAAGGATTTCAGCCTTCTTGGACACTTATTGTGAAATTATTATGAGAGCAGTGTTTGGCATTTTGAATTTTTTTTTCAACGTTTTTATTTATTTTTGGGACAGAGAGAGACAGAGCATGAACGGGGGAGGGGCAGAGAGAGAGGGAGACACAGAATCGGAAACAGGCTCCAGGCTCCGAGCCATCAGCCCAGAGCCTGACGCGGGGCTCGAACTCACGGACCGGGAGATCGTGACCTGGCTGAAGTCGGACGCTTAACCGACTGCGCCACCCAGGCGCCCCTGTTTGGCATTTTGAATACTGATCAGTATCCTGTCTTCTCTTAGTCATTAAGTTCTGGGGTCGGGGTGTCCTCTACTTCCCTTTGTGCTCTTCTCCAACCCCCAGGCTCACTGACTTGTTGCAGATGGTTTTAGAGGCTCTTACACACACGGTGCCTTTCTTTTTCCCATGCTTGTAGGTATGGCTTTGTGATTGCTGTCACCACCATTGACAATATTGGTGCTGGTGTGATCCAGCCAGGCCGAGGCTTTGTCCTTTATCCAGTTAAGTACAAGGCCATTGTGTTCCGGCCCTTTAAAGGGGAGGTCGTGGATGCTGTTGTCACTCAAGTCAACAAGGTGAGACTATACATAGCGGAGGCAGTTGGGTGGCCGCTCAGAAGATGTGAGATGGGTTCCAACTCCTCTTGCTAACTCTGTGACCTTGGCTGAGTCAGTCTGTGCTTCAGTTGCCTCACCTGTTAAATGGTACAGTAATCTTGTGCTGTCTCCGTCCGGGTCATGTATGTCAGCCTGAGTAGTCAACAATAGCACAGCCTCCATTCGTGGAGTACTTACTGTGGGCCAGGTAATGTGCAAAACCTCACGATGACTGTGGTGGGTGCTTTTATCCATTTTTATTTTCTTTCTTTATTTATTTCAAATGTTTAATTTTGAGAGAGAAGGGGGAGGGGCAGGGCAATGGAGACAGGATCCAAAGCAGGCTCCGTGCTGACAGTGCAGAGCCCGATGTAGAGCTCAAACCCATGAGCCACAAGATGATGACCAGAGACGAAGTCAAGAGTTGGATGCTTAACCTACTCTACTGAGCCACCCACGTGCCCCATCCCTTTTTATAGAACCTTAAGCTTGGAGAAGTTAAGTCTACTGGCCAAGGTCATGTGGTCAACAAGTGTTCAAATTGTGGACTGACAAGTCCCAGGCCTTGGGTCTTTACCACATTGTTTGCTTAACTTCAAATGAAAGCTTGAGGGCCATGTGGGTGGCCCAGTTAAGCGTCTGACTCTTGATTGCAGCTCAGGTCATGATCTCAGGGTTCATAGTTTAAGCCTGGTGTTGGGCTGTGTGCTGACAGTACGGAGCCTGCTTGGGATTCTCTCTCTATCCCTCCTTCCCTTTCTCCCTCTCTCAAAATAAATAAATAAATAAATAAAATTAAAGGGAGCGCGCCTGGGTAGCTCAGTCAGTTAAGCATCTCACGTTGGCTCAGGTCATGATCTCACTGTTCGTGAGTCTCGCATCAGGTGAACTTGAGCCCTGCTTCGTGTGAACCCCGCCTCCCCCCCTGCCCTGTCTCCCTCTCTGTCTCTGCCCTTTGCTCACTTGTGCCTTCTCATAAAAATGATATGAAAATAAGTAAAGTGAAAGCTTAACAGAAGAGAGACCAGAAAACAAATGATACAATCCAGAGTGGTTTCAGGACATGAAGAATATTAGGAATCAGACAAAGATGAGGACCTTAGAAGACATGGGGGGGTAAA